TGTCCTCCACCATCCCCCGGAGTCCACTCAAACTCACGCCAACTGCTCCAGTGACTCCATCCAGCCACCTCATCCTCTGCCGTCCCCTTCTTCTTTTGCCCTCAATCGTTCCCAGCATTAGGCTCTTCTCCAGGGAGTCCTTCCTTCTCATTAAGTGATCAAAGTATTTCAGTTTCATCTTCAGTATCTGGCCTTCTAAAGAGCAGTTAGGGTTGATCTCCTCTAGGACTGACCAGTTTGATCACCTTGCGGTCCAATTCAAAGACCTCAATCCTTTTGTGCTCAGCCTTCCTTATGGTCCAGCTTTCACAGCCAAGTGCTTGCTAGGAGCTTGCTAACATTCCTGAGTGTTTGCAGGCTTGATCTTGGCTCAACTCACTTCTCAGGACAGAAAAAAGTCCAGTGAGCACAAGGGACGAATTCCAGGAAGATTTTTGCATCTCTATACTAGTTTACCAGCAGCAATCACATCTGCTAATTAAGATGTTGACTCACTGTAAGATGAGTTGGGAAAGAGTTTGTGCCTCTTCTGCCAATCTTTTTACTCCTTTGTGGGGAGAACAATGGTGTCACCTTGTAACCTTGAGCCTGATCATAGATGATCAGATCTACCATTAAAGTAAGAGAGCCAGTGGCCTTGGCTCCTCATATACCATCTTTCCCTTGTCAGAGGAAGCTGTCTTATATTGAGTTAGACTCTGGTCTTCTAGCTCAGTATTCTTGATGCTGACTGGCTCTCCAGGTTTGTGTAAAGGATATTTTCCAGCCTTACCAATTAATGCCTGGGATCAAATGGGTGTTTCTGCATGCTAAGCTTGTATTCTTCCTTTAGCAGCAGCTCCTTCTGCTTACCCTTGGCCCTAATGTGTTGTATGACGTGCTTGTGGTACAGGGTATAAGGAGCAAAAGACTTTGATTCCTGTTGTTTCAGGGCTTTTAAAAGATTTGACATGAGAGGGAGTTTTTAAATAATCTGGCCTTGCTAGTGAGTTAATACAAACAAAAATTATATACATTCACCACATTAATACCCTACCTTTTCATAAAATATGATGGTGTTTCACAATCATATAATCTACAGTTTAAAAACAATAAAAATAATATGAAATAATAAAGTACATAAATATAAAAATACCAGCCATATAAAACATTATAAAATTAAAATACAAATTAAGACACAAACAGAAAAGAAATCAAATCAATCAAAAGTGGTTCAATCTTGATTGATTGATTGATAAACCACTTACACAGGTCAAATACTCACAGGTCATGCTTATGGAAGCTATTTACAAGGAGGATAAATCAACCTCCTTTGTTAGGGAGTTCCACAGTATGATTGCACATGAGACAGTGGAACAGAAGATAGTAGTACTCGGACAGATGGATTCAGGAGAAGGTTGTCCTGGATCCTTAAACATGATCTTAATCTGTTTAAGGTTTTATAGGCCATAACCAGCATGTTGAATTGGACGTGGAAATGGAACAGCAGCAAATGTAACTGTTGTAACTTAGCAGTCACATGCTTCCAGGAATCGTCACTGGTCAACAGTCCACAGAAAAAGCATTGCAGTAATCCAAAGAAAAGTAATTAAGGTGTGTGCTACAATGACCAGATCAAATACCTCCAAATATGAGTGATATTTATTTATTTGTTTATTTATTCATTCGTTCATTCAATTTATATGCTGCCCCAGTAGCCATGGGTTCTCTGGGTGGCTTACAACATATTAACATTCAATAATATAAAACAACACAAACACATTTGCTACAATAACCAATAATAATAAAATCAGTAAATAAATTAATAGGATTTAAACCAAAATAGGAAAAATAGAATTAATAAATACTCAATACGGTATGCATATATAAAAACCCAAAATTAAAGCATAAACAATTAAACTTAGAAATAAATATTTCTCCTTTAAAATTATGTTCCATTGACAAGCAGTATAAAATAACATCTGCTAAACAGGTAAGTTTTTAGTTGATGCTAAAAGCCAAAAGAATTGGCACCAACTGGACCGTGAGTGGAATTGAATTCCAAAGTTGGGGTGCTATGCAGGAGAAGGCCCTCCTCCTTGCAAGCCCCCACTCCCACTTTGTGATGGGGAGGAATGTGGTAGAGGACTTCAGATAAAGACTACAATGAATGGGCTGTACATAAAGGGAAAGATGTTCCTGTTCCAAAACTGTTTAGGGGTTTATATGTCATTATGAGCACTTTAAATTGTGTTACAGGTGATAACTGGCAACCAGTGTAACCTGTGTAGGACTGACTTGATAGGCTCATGAATGCTGGTCCTAGTCAGCAAGTGGACTCCCCAGGTATGAATGAGTTGCAAGGTCCGAACTGTTTTCAAAGGCAGCCCCTTGTAGAACTCATTACAGTAATCCAACCGGGAGGTTACCACCACATGGATAAATGTGGCAAGGCTCTATTCATCAAAGTAGGGACGCAGCTGATAAATCATCCAAAGCTGATAAAAAGTGCTCCTGGAAACTTAAGTCCACCTGTGCAACTAGTGACAACTCGGGATCCAGGAACACTCCTAGGCTGTAAACCCTACCCTTAGCAGGCATGCAGCCCTGTCTGGAACAGGTTGAAAATTCCCCAGCTGAACAGATGGACTCCCCACCAACAGTACTTCTGTCTTGTCTGGATTGAACCTCAGCTTATCAGACCACATCCAGCCTATTACCAAGCTCAGACACTGTTTCAGAACTGTCAACATTTCCCCAAGCCATCTATGTATTTTAACCCAATATTTTTTTGCTTTATCACAGGTCCACCACATATGATAAAAGGTGCCAGGTTTCTGTTTACATTTCCAACACATAATTGACATATTCGGAAACATTTTAGCTAATCTGTTGGGTGATAAATACCATCTATAAAACATTTTATACAATTTTTCTTTATAAGAAGTTGCCAAGGTTATCTTGACATTTCTTTCCCACAACTTTTGCTACCTGTGCAATTCAATGTTGTACCCAAAGTTTCGTGCCTGTGTTATCATTTTATTTCTAAAAGAAAAGTATACAATCTTTTAATCATTTTCATCTGATTTTAAAATTAATTGATCAAAAGTATTTTGTTCCTTATAGAAACCATACATTTTAAAATCTTTAACATGTCTCGATTTTTTCTGCGTTAGATGCCACCAAGAAAGATCAATGCCCTGGTCTTGAAGTTCTTGATTTGGTTTCAGTTTTCCTTCATTGTCCAAGATGTCATTATAAACCACAGTCTTATTTAAATTTAATGCATTTGGGTATGCAAAAGCTTCCATAGGAGAAAACCATTTCGGTATCTTATTATAAATGTTTAACTTTAATTTTTCCCAAACTGAAATCGATGCCTTCCTAATGTAGTGGTTTTGAAAATATCCATGAGTTTTACCCATACACTTCTCATACCACATAAAAGCATGTCAGCCCATTTGTAAGTCGTTACCTTCAAGATATAAAATCCTTTTGTTTCTTATTGTTATCCATCCTTTTAGCCACACTAGAACACATGCCTGATAATACAACAAACAATCTGGGAGGCCTAAACCCCCATTCCTTTTGGCCTCCTGGAGCATTTTTGTTTTAATTCTTGGTTTCTCCTTTTGCCATATAAATCTTGAAATTTGTGTATTTAAATCATCAAAAAACCTTTTCTCAATTTTTATGGGAATTGTTTGAAATAGAAACAAAATCTTGGATTCCCAGATATTTAACCTTTTTCACTATTTGAAGATCTAGCTGTTCCATCAAGGCTGTTCTCTGATTCAATGTACAATTTTTTACTGATAATTTAGACTTTTCTCTATTTATTTTCATCCCCGTAACTTCTCCATAGTCTTCTATTTTTTCAACAATTTAGTTGCTGTTACCGTGGGTTCTTCTAAGATAAAAACTAAATCATCCATAAATGCTTGGAGTTTATACATTTCATCTTTAATTCTAGTTCCTATAATTTCCATATCTTCCCTAACATTTCTATTAAGAACCTCTAAAATTAATATGAATAACAATGGTGACAAGGATCATCCTTGTTGTGTGCCTTTTTGGATATTTATAGTCTCTGTAGGTTGACCGTTAATTATTATTCTGGCAGTCTGTTTTTGATAGATAGTTATTGCGTTTACAATTTTTTTGTCAAAATCCATTTGTTTTAATTGTTCTTTCATAAACTGCCAATTAATATTATCAAATGCGTTTTGTGCGACTAAAAGCAGTAATGGCTTTGGGAACTAGATTTATGAGTGCTGCCAGCATTGCTGCAGAGGTTGAAGGGATGGTGGGTCAGCCTGTCAGTGCTCAGACCATACTCCGCACACTGCATCAAATTGGTCTGCAGGGCTGTCATCCCAGAAGGAAGCCTCTTCTAAAGATGATGCACAAGAAAGCCCGCAAACAGTTTGCTGAAGACAAGCAGACTAAGGACATGGATTAGTGGAACCATGTCCTGTGGTCTGATGAGACCAAGATAAACTTATTTGGTTCAGATGGTGTCAAGCATGTGTGGCGACAACCAGGTGAGCAGTATAAAGACAAATGTGTCTTGCCTACAGTCAAGCATGGTGGTGGGAGTGTCATGGTCTGGGGCTGCATGAGTGCTGCCAGCACTGGGAAGCTACAGTTCATTGAGGGAACCATGAATGCCAACATGTACTATGACATACTGAAGCAGAGCATGATCCCCTCCCTTCGGAAACTGGGCCGCAGGGCAGTATTCCAACATGATAATGACCCCAAACACACCTCCAAGACAACAACTGCCTTGCTAAAGAAGCTGAGGGTAAAGATGGACTGGCCAAGCATGTCTCCAGACCTAAACCCTATTGAGCATTTGTGGGGCATCCTGAAACAGAAGGTGGAGGAGCGCAAGGTCTCTAACATCCACCAGCTCCGTGATGTCATCATGGGGGAGTAGAAGAGGACTCCAGTGGCAACCTGTGAAGCTCTGGTGAACTCCATGCCCAAGAGGGTTAAGGCAGTGCTGGAAAATAATAGTGACCACACAAAATATTGACACTTTGGGCCCAATTTGGACAGTTTCACTTAGGGGTGTACTCACTTTTGTTGCCACCGGTTTAGACATTAATGGCTGTGTGTTGAATTATTTTGAGGGGACAGCAAATTTACACTGTTATACAAGCTGTATACTCACTACTTTATATTGTAGCAAAGTGTCATTTCTTCAGGGTTGTTACATGAAAAGATATAACAAAAATACTTACAAAATATGAGGGGTTTACCCACTTCTGTGATATATTGTACATGAGCATCTTCTGAACCAAGGCCACTTGGAAAGCCTGGATATCCAAGTCTGGGATTGAATCAAGGAATATTTGCAAACTGCAGACCTGTTTTTTGTTTTTGATTTTTTTAAAAAGTATGCACTGCCAACCAAAATAGGTTGAATTGCAGTTGTCTGATATGCCTTTCTTTGATCAAAGCACCTCTTTCTTGCCTTGATTTAGTTTCAGTTAGTTTGCATTCATCTAGTTTGTTACTGATGCAGCCACATTAATTCAAAACATCAACAACTTCACTGGATTATGAGGGAAAGGAGAGAACGTATCGGTGGCACTGAACACTAAAATATGGATGATCCCTATCCAAGTAGTTGCATGCAGTTATTAAATAGCAGGCAGGATGGAAGAATCCTGGTCAGTGGCTCAGGTGTTAAAGAGTTTTTCCTCAGCACTACCTACAGGAATTGCTACTTGAGGAATGAATGAAACCACCACAAACAGTGCCAGCCAGTCCCACCCTAGCCAGAAGAGTACTATAAGCAATGGTATTGAAATCCTCTGAAAGGTCCAGCAGAACCAATAAGGAAGCTTTTCTTTTGTCTGGTTCCCAGCGAAGGTCATCCATCAAGGTGACCAAAGCACATTCCAACTTATAATTGAACTGGCAAATAGATGAAAACAGATCTAGAAAATTTGTATCATCATACTGCCCCTAGAAACAGTAGTAATTACTTCACACAAAAGAAACCTGTAGGTTGCAATAAATTTTTTTAAATGTTCTTGGTTGTAGTTACTTTTTACATATATTATTTTTCAGATATTCCTCTTCATGTACATTTTAAAAAATTGCTGAAGAAGTATGAGATCAAGGAGGATTCTTTTGAAACATCTGCTCTTGGTTTAGAGTTTCAAATGTCTCCAGCAAATGGTATGCAATAAAGAGGTGTTTTTAATACTTCTACATGGTTTTGTTGATTTCCTGCCACTCTATGGTCAATTTTCAGTATAGTTTAAAGTGGAAATGGTGAACACACAGCTCTTGTTTGGGGAAAGAAGGATTTTTGTGCTTGTAGTTGTGACTTGTGCATAGATGTTTAAGAGCAACAAGTAAGGGAAAGACCCTCAAGCTCTCTTGTTGTTGTGTCAAACAATCATTTCTTAATTAAGAAATGCACATTTTAAGGGCTGTAAGTTAAAGATTATTTCATTGTAAAATGTGTGTTGAAAAATGTTAATTTTATGCATCCAAAATATGCAAATTACCTATGTCTTTTCTAACTCATAATGTATTTCTAGAGTGATCTCTATAACTTCCTGTGTAATAGAGGTGATCCTTTTTGTGGTCCTCCATATATTTTGGTCTCCATGGGAGTCTAAACCAAAATATCTGGA